TCCCTTTTTCCCTTGTTTTAATGCGAAACAGTTTCTGGCACTCTGGCTTCCACTGCGGAGCTCTGCGGGCTCCAGTTGCGATTCGGTGTGGCTCATCAAACTCTTGAGAAATGAAGAGTGAATCGGCCAGGAGCCACCCGTCTTCGTGGGAATGCAGTGCAGAGCGGTTTTTTTAGACAGGCCCCGTAGGACAGGACCTCTCCTTTCATAACCTGTGCTTCAGTGAGCCGAAAAAGTCCTCATAAGTCAAGTTCTCTAGTGTTTATCTGCAACGTGTTATGCAAGACCCCGTCTCTAATATTATAACTTTGAAATACGTCGGTAGTACTAGCATTTTGCAAAGCCTGAGGTAACGTTTCAGCATATGGGATTTTTAGCTCCTCCTAAATCTTATCTTGCCTGTCAGATTTCTTACAGCTGTGCTAGGTTGCTATTCTGGCCACAGGCTTCCAAGGACTTGACATTACTTTTCTCTGAAAGTCTCCTTAAGTCTGTTTGCAAAAAAATCAAACAAACAAACAAAAAAAACCCAAAAAACCAAACCAAAAACCAACCCCACTAATTGGTCCACTGTTGTGCCGGTCAGCAAATTCAGACTGTAAAACTAAAGCCACTGTCTTTAGAAACCATTTTTAATGATGTAACAATTTTTATTACTAATGAAATTTTGTGGGTTTTATTACTTTATGTTACTGATCCAGGAACCTAATATCAAAGCGGTTTAGTAAAGGAGCGAGATTTTGGTTCTTCAGTTGAATTCTCTTCAACTATTGATTTTAAAAGTTTCTGACGGTGTAGTCGAAGAAAATGTCAGTAATGAAGAAGAGCAGAGTTGACAATAACCTCCATTCTTAACTCCTCCTTCCAGTTGTGTAAATGTTGTTGGGTCACACAGAAGTGCGTGGCTGTCAGACATTCAAAGTGCCTCTGCTGGTAGCAGTCTCTGAGAGGCTATAGCTAATTTTGAGCACAGCATTCCTGATGCTGGTATAACTGTTACAGGAAATAAGATATCAATGGCATATATCCCTGTGCTCTAATTTTAGTAATCCCTGTAATGAAATGTCAGGACAGTACTGGGGAGAGTGTACTTCACCTTCCGAAAGTGATTTTTTTTCATGTAAGGTTTGGCTCGTTTGGTTTTTTGTTTGGTTGGTTTTTTTTCCTTTTTGCCATCAAATGAACTTCATTTTACCTGACAGACATTCAGATCCTAAACCCACTGCTTTACACGGTGGTTTTGCTGCAGTGATGGTGATGTTAGTAAGAGAAACTGCGAGCTTGGTAAGCCTTGCTTTTAAATGTATTCAGACCTTGAATTCTGATATTAGAGTCCCCATGATTCTACTTAATAAGCAAGTGGCTTGCTTTCAACTTAGGATAGTGGAACTTGGCATTGTTCAGGTTTTTTTACACTTTATAATTCATTATCTGTGTATCAATAACTTTCTCTTTTTACAAATACTCAGGTTCCTTTTACTCCCCATTTTGTAGACTGCTTGGGTTAGTAGGGGTGTTAATTACATGACTGGCATGTCATGTAATAAAAGCTTTTGTGCAAGCACTTATACCTGTTTCAGTCACTTGGAAGGACCCTGTAATTAGCCATTAGCCATGCACATGATGGTGGCCCTCATACCTGCAAGTGGAAACCTATTCTGAACCCTGTTGACTAAACTGAATGTTTCATATCCAACTGAACAGTTGTATGGTTTTAGGTCCTAACATTTTAACTTAATTTTGTTCTTGTTATCATGGGTATCTTAAGCCTAAATGCTGCTCTTTCTCTGTGAGTGTGTGTGTGTGACCTGCAGCACATATACAAAACTCCCTTTGATTTGTTGAGTGCTCTGAAAGTTTAATGATTTGTTTGTACGTTGTAGGTTACACACAAGTGTATATCATTTTACAGTTAAAAGCATAAGGAATTTAGCGTTGTTTAGTGAACCCTCAATGAAGAATGAAGGGATTTGAAATATTTTCTGTTTCAAAATGCGTTCCTAACTTTTTTCAGATGTTTTCATGGGTCAGCTTAATACATAGACTTGGTAAACCTAAATACTTATATACTACATAAACCAAAATCTGCATAAAATTGTTGTAGTCTGATGATCATGATGTTTTGCTGTATTTTGTTTTTAAGAGTCTTTATATAGCAAAGAGGAACAAATTGGAAAGGAGACAGATAGTGCCATATAAGTAAAGGAAAAGGACTATATGTAAAGTGTGCAAAGAACAACGTTAGGGAAGTTGGGAGATGATGCTGTGGAAATACACCATTCTGCCAAAATTCTTGGCACATATGTTGGTGCGCTTTCTTCTTAACACAATATCAAATTATGATTTGTAATTACAGAATAGAAATATCTAGTCCTCCTGATAAAGTGATTTTATCTTTTTTTCCGGAGGTTTTGAACTACAGTTCCGATTGGGCCCGACTCTTCAAGGCAAGGCCGTTACCGTGTACACAAATTACCCAGCTCCTGGAGAAGTATTTGATCGCCACAAGTTCAGGACACTATCGTGGCACAATCCCACAGGAAAAGAAGATGACTCTGACAAATACTGCAAGCTAGATCTCCAAATTTCTGGGTCATACCAGTACTATTTCTGTCTTGGGTAAGTGAAATTGTATACTTGTGGCCAAATGCAGTCTGCTCCCTTGGTCTACATTTTAACCTGAAGAAATCACTGTTAAGAATAAAAACACTTTTTTCCATGCATTTTTCAAATTGCAGCCGTGGGGCCTATCTGAATCTGCTAATGAAAGACAGTAGCTGCGGCGGTTGTCTTAATACTTTCTGATGTAAAGGTATTCTGGAGAATATACAGAACAAAGTTCATCAATTTTCTGTGAATGTTGGAAAGGCATGCCATTTTTACAAGTTTTCAAAGTAATCAGTGTTCTAGGTATCTGAAAGATTAATTTGTACTTTCTTTGTTGACTTTGAGGGTTGTTTTCTACCTTTCTAGCACAGAGGTTCTGGCATTCTTTACTTCCTCCTTTGCTTCATCCGGACAAGTGCAGAGGAGAATGCCAGTATCTGTAATGATTGTAATCCGGTATTCTGCGTTTCTGGAAAGTGGGTGGTTAAATTCCCTCAGGCTTAACAGGGTGTTTAGCTCAGGTCTCTTTCCCAGGATGGTGCTCCCAATGGAGGTCTGTGTATCAAAGATGGGCAGTCATGCTTTCTTTGTTTCTGTCCCTATCCTAAAAGGAGCAACCAGTACTCTGTCTCAGAAAATAACAAAGTTATCTCACTTTTGTGGGGACTTTAAAGCTCCATATCCCAATTGTATTCTTGTAAGCAACTGGCATACGTCCTGTAGAGAGGTGATGCCTAAGAGATGTCCATCTCTTCCGTGTTTCCTACTTTCTCCAGGTGCCCTGCAGTCCTGTTCCCCACCTCCCCCCAGCCACTGTACTGGGCTGCTGTGTTTTTGAAATAGCTTGTTGGAGTCTCTTTCTGAAACTGGTACAATGGGTGTTTACTATACCAATGAAAATTAATTTTTCCTAGAAATGAAAAAAGTGGTGGAGGTTACATAGTTGTGGATCCTATTTTGCATGTCGGAGCCGATAATCATGTGTTACCTTTGGACTGTGTTACGCTCCAGACGTTCCTCGCTAAGTGTCTGGGACCGTTTCATGAATGGGAAGATAGACTTAAAGTTGCAAAAGAAACAGGTAATGCCAATACACATATTAAAGGATACACGTTTTTGTCTGATGATCGAAAACCTAAGTTAGGCTGAAGAGCTTAAGTGTAAACAGGTCATTTGTTCTTTAGTTTGTAGACAAAATGTTTTCCTCTATATTCAATTTAGTTAACAGATTAAGTCAGTGAAATGATTAAAATATTTGCAGAGGTGCAAAAATTCAGGGATTTCCTGGTACGGGAAACCACTTTTGTTTTATTGTTTTGATTCTGGATAGACTGGGAAGTTTGTAGAACTGACAGGGTGATTTTTCTGAAGCTTGTGTTATGTAGAATTTCAAGGGGAAGATCCAGATTCATTTGCACTGGTTATTCCAAACACTAGCTTTTAGTACATGTTATAACTGTAACTTTTTATGCTTCTTTCAATTAACTTACTAAACAAATGGCTTCTTATTATGTAGGTTACAACATGATTCATTTTACACCACTGCAGAAGCTTGGACTGTCTAGATCATGTTATTCACTGGCTGATCAGTTAGAAGTAAATCCTGATTTTTCAAGCCATAATAAAAAGTGCACTTGGAGCGATATAGGAGCTCTTGTGGAAAAATTGAAAAATGAATGGAATATGCTTTGCATCACGGATGTAGTCTACAATCATACCGGTATGATTTTTTTGTGTGTTTTAATAACCAGATTGGTCCTATAATTATATTTCATTATTTCCCTTAACTTTTCCCCCTTGAGCCCATCTTTTAGTAGCTGTTTTAAGCAACTTAGTTGTCTCTGTCTTTGAATCTCTCAAATCCAGGACAACTCTTTACAATTATAACTGGTAAGTCTCCATAACAGATGTAAAAGAATTCAGTATTGTTACTGAAAGAGTGAATAGAGCCCTTCTTAGTGAGAATAATGAACTGTGCGTGTGTCTGTATTTTTATAATATCCTTATCTTTATGATCTGTGGTGTGCAGCTCCCACGTAAATGAATGGAATCTGCATTATGAATTGCTTGGTGAACATTAACTGAGTACTTTCTTGTTAAACAGGGTATTATTCGTGTAGCTGCTTAAAAGTAACTGCTCTAATTAGGATCTAAGCTGCAGACGACAAGCAGAATAGGGACAAGAGGCTAGGATTAAGCAATGGAGGAAATGTTACAGCTCAGTCTGTGGGGGAAGGAAAAAAGAGCGAGCTCTGTGTTTGGGGTGGGGGGTTTTAAGCATGGATATGCCAATGCATTGAAGGCTTTGCTTCTCTTAATTGCTTTTCATAGCTGAAGTTGTCTGTTGTGCAGAGAGGGACAGTGGGTTTTCTTCAGTACGATCTGATGAAATTTGAATTATAGTACTTCATCATTTGTAAGTTTGCTGGTTATTTGGATAATGAGTTTATAATGCAGTTTTCATCTTATGCTGGAATCCTAAAGATCACAGTAATTAGCATTCTCATAGCAGAGAGTACAACAAATGGTTCCGTATGTTGATGTTGCAGTCCTTTGGGGCTTAAAAAAGCCTCTAACCACAGATAGCTGTGAATTTCAAGCTTTATTTGCTTTAGTTCTTTGGTGTTGAATGCTGCTGAACACTCCTATCCAGCCAGTCTGCAATGCAGTGTGGGCCCTGTTTGCCCTAGCTGTTGGAAAGTTGCTAAATATAGTTGTTGGCTATGTGTCTGAGGGAATTAGGCTTTTAAACATTCTCCCAATTTCGGGTAAAAAATTTCTTGCACTTTACCAACTAGAAGTCCAGTTTCATACATGCTTGAGATTGTGTAATCTTTTTACTCTGCATATTTGCATGCTACCAAGGAGATGGTTTTTACAGACAGAAGCATCTAAGTCTGAACTAATGATTAGACTCCAAAATATGTTTGAGAATTAAAATGTCACATTATTGCTTGGCTACATTTGTAGAAGGACTTTTTCAGGTTACATTCAGAGTTCAAAGTTAATCTCCATTGGGATGGATGACTAAACATTTATACTATGGTGAAAGGATGTTTAGAAGTGTCTTCTAACAGGATAGAAATATTCAAATGACCATGGTCCTGATTTGCATCATTCAGCAAGGTATACTTGATGGCTTGCTTTCCTGCTTTCAAACTATTGAACTTGAAATTTTTTTTCCCCCCTCTTCGTTGTTTATAATCAAACCCTCTTGATTTACAACTGACTCCAAACTTTGTTAAATGCCAAATAAACAGAAAGATACATTGATAAATGTCTGAGTAAGCAATAATGTTGTATATGCCTGTGGAGGTAAAACATTTTTGGGGGTTTTGAAATAAGAAAATAGGCAAATAGTTTGTGGGGTTCTTTTTGTCTGGATCTGGATTAGATGGAAATTTAACTTTACTGGGTTTTTTTTTTTTTTGGTGTTTAATTGAACAGTAATTTGTAGTAGTTAAATTAGTTCATTCCTGCACATTAGGGTGATTTAATTATAAAACAAGTTTCATAGACCCATTTGAATGTAAAAGACACAAAATGTATAGTCAGTTATTTTGAGCAGATTATGGTTACTTGCACATCGTTACTAATTCTGCAGCACATCTGCCTTAAAAGCTTAAGCTGTCTCACAGTAAATCCTCTAATGCTGGTAATTCTAACAGCTCATGAGCCCTCAGCTTACCATGGTTGTATCTGTTGGTAGTTTCTACCTTCCAACTGAGACCGCTGTATAAAAATGGTACTGCTTCCCCTCTCTTCCTGCTGTAAAGTCAGACCGCTCACTTGCAATATTAAGCAGTTAAGCTAAGGTGTTTGGTTTTTACACTGGAATGGATAACAGACTGCTTGCACAGTAGAGAACAGGGAACAGTTTTTTAATGTTAAGGTCTCTGTTAGTCTCTCATGAAAGCCAGCATCTATGGCCTGACTTTAAACGTAAAGTAATGCATGCGCTAATGTTAAATATAGACGCACCGTTGGCACGTTAGCAGGAGTATCACAGATAAACTTGCAAACCCTGTCTGGTAACTGGGGAGATGTGCCCTTTTTGGGCTGCCATTTCCTTCAGGGTGTTCGAACACCCTCAAATGAGAAATACTGCGTTCACTAGCATTTACTTTTCACCAGGAGATAGAAAAAGGAGAGTTGTTTTTTCTGAGCTTTCAGTGGCTGTAATAAATCATATGAAGTAATACAATAATCTGAAATAAATTATACTTCCTTTACCTTTCAGAAGAGGCTATTGTTGTCTAATTGCAATTTAACACTTGAGTAAATCCTGCTTCCAAGTACTCAACTAATCGCATCAAGCACTACCTTTTCTCAGCTTTATAAAGGGGAGGAAAACAAAAGACGCCTTGGGCAGTGGGCATTGCTACTAAATATTAAGTTTGTGTTTAGTTTATATAACAATGAATTAGTCCTTTGCAAAATGTGCCATTATTTTCTTAAATAAGAATGAATTTTAGAAATCGTTTTCTATAATTCCTCATCTTAGTATTTCCATATTTTTATACTTATGTGCATTTTCTGCCTAGCTGTAACAAATGTAAGCACAAATGATGTTTTGGGCAAATTTTTTTCTGCAGAATTAGCTTTCTTTTGGTATTATGTTGTGAATCATTGGAGCTTACCTTCTGACCAGAAAACATCATTCTGTTCCGTACAAGAATTAGTGGAAGGCCTGTTGGCTTTTTTTTTTTACGCATGATAACACCTTTAGATTTAAATGACATATTGTCTTTTTAGACTTAATTGTATTTACTCCTGAAAGTCCCTTACAGTAAATCATGGTTCTTGCTAGATGAACGGAGTAAGCTAGTTTTGCTTTTTAGAGAAAAATATTTTCAGAAATAGTATTTTTAAAAAAAGGGGGGGGGGGGGGTTGGAATCTGGTTGGCCTAGAACAACCTTTAACAGCCCGAGTTTATTTTTGCTTTTTGTAACTTTAAAATAAGTGTCGTGGTTTTAGTTGTAGGTGGCATTTAAACCATGAAGATCTTAATTTCCACAAATGGTTTGACCTTATAAACATGGAATTTTGCCATGTTCATAATGGTCTTGAGATGTAACGTAAGAGGGTGTTCAGAAGAGCTGTTCATACTATAGATTGAGAGAGTACACTCTTCTCTTTACCTTTGACATTTTTGTTTGAACTTCTTTGAACTAAGCAAACCTGGGGTTTAGGTGTTAATTGTTCTGCTATAATTTTGGACATGTTAATGGGTCTTTCTTCATGTTTCCAATATAATAATTTGCTATATGTTTTCCCTTGTATGAAGTACTACTACTGTTTTTCTCTGCTTTTCAAAAACAATGGATTAATAAGACATGTTCAATGAAAAAATGTTTTTAAAAAAAAAAGTTGTAAAACCCAAGTCATTTTGGTTGTTGTTGTTCTTATGCACTCTGTGCCCTTTTTTTTACCTTTAGTTTTTCAATTGCAGAGATTCATTCAAAAGAATATATGAAAATTCTTTTCAGTTCAGCTGTGTTTAGGACGGTTTCAAAAATTGAAAGAAATTAACTCTTGAGGATTTTTTTCCTTCATTGTCATACTTCCAAAATCAAAATTCTCTCTGCTACATATGTATTTACTCACACGCTACTTCTATATTGGAATATTACACCAATTTTCTAGTGAAGGCTTCTTACCTTCTCTGAGTTAGTTCTTAATGTTCAGCATATCTTCTGGTGCTTGTTGATGCTACGAGGGAAGTTTAGAAAATAGACACAGTAGAGTGCAGTGTTTGATCTGAACTAGTATCCCATCTGCATGCACCAGACAGGGTACTCTTCCTGTGTAAGACTCGGTGGCATCGCATCCCCACCACTCTGCTTCTTATGTGCACAATGGTGTCACAGCTAATCCTTTCTTAAAAGCCCATTTAACTACATTTTTCATTAATAATTTCTTGGGTGGTGTGTGTGCGCTCTTGCTCTCTGCCTGTGTTATCTGATAGAGTTAAGAATACTAAAAAATAAAACAACTTGGGCCATGTTAAATCTTGGTTTGGCATGTATGTTTGGCTTGCACCACAAAAAGAGCGTTTCATGTCCGTTATTTGATGTACATCCTGCAACAAAATTGCAATTTTTTTTAAGCGTTTTAGTTACATAAAAATATGCAATAGTACCACCAATTCTAGCAAAAAGTTTCTCTGCAGTCTCTGCAACTGTATTTGTTGCAAAACAGATGGCTATCAGTAACGCACACCTCTGCATAAGACAGGATTTTACTATTGGCACGGGACACTTGAGCCGAAATGTGAACTAAGTATACATGCCATCATACCTTCACTTCTTGGCATTAAGATGTTTGCACAAAACAATGAAGTGTTCAGCTTGTGTACTTACTTTTTTTCCCCTCCTCTCCCTTTCCTGAATAAGCTGCTAACAGTGAATGGCTCAGGATGCATCCAGAATGTGGCTATAACCTTGTAAATTCTCCTCACCTGAAGCCAGCTTGGGTCTTGGATAGAGCTCTGTGGCACTTGACCTGTATGGTGGCTGATGGAAAGTACACTGCTAAAGGAATCCCTCCCTTGATTGAAAATGATCATCACCTGAATGTAAGTGAATGAGAGCTAAGTATAAGCTAATGAACACTATAAATAGCTGAATAAACCTTTAATAGTTCTAAGGTTGTGGAAACGCCCAAAAAATGGTGTATACTTTGCAGATATATTTAATGAAATAACCCTTTACTCCCCAATATTTTTTTTTCTGAGCAATTCATATGAGCACTTAGTTAATAATGTTGCTGATTAATATGATTAAGAAAAAGCTAACACAATTTTTACTTTTGCAGTGTATCCGTAAAATAATTTGGGAAGATATATATCCAAAAATCAAACTATGGGAATTTTTCCAAGTGGATGTTAACAAAGCTGTGCAGCAATTTAAAACCCTTCTAACTCAAGGTAAAGGAAGGGTATGTTGCTGAAGCATGTGGATTATATATTTATAGTTTGCAAAACTTATAGGTAAACTTAACAGTAAGCTAGAAAACAAAATAATGCCATTTTTTGCTATGTGAGAAGTCTACTGTGCTGATTTAAGCATACAAGAATGTTTTGAGGGCTAGTGAAGTCTTTGAAGACTTTGCGTGCCTTCAAAGCTTTTACCTACCCGTATCTTGCTTATGCTAAAATTATAAAAATTGTATGTCTTTTAAATGTAATAGGTATTTTTACTTTATGAACACTGTATTTTCTGTCTTGTTTTTAGGCAAAATGAGCACTAAATCTGATCCAAATCAACATCTTCAAATAGTCCAGGACCCTGATTATAGACGATTTGGCTGTACTGTAGATATGAATATAGCATTGGCAACATTCATACCACACAGGTATTGTATTATCGATTATAAGTTAAAATCACAAGTGAAGTTAAATTTACAAAACAAAATAAATGAAATTATATTCAGAGATGGGAAAAAACTAATTTTTCATTCCTTTGTTATTTATACTGCATGTCTTAAAAATAAATTATTTTAATTGTTCTCTGCTTTTAACGTCCTCCTGATAAGCAATGGACCAGCTGCAATAGAAGAATGTTGTAACTGGTTTCGCAAGAGGATTGAGGAACTGAATGCTGAACAATACAGACAAACTAATCACCATCAAGAGCAGGTCTTATCATTACCATGTTTAATGCTGAACTGTTTAAAATTGCAAATAAATGTAGGCATTTCAGTAATGCATGATTTAATTATTTCTAGGCTGTCAATTGTCTTGTGGGGACTGTGGTTTATGAACGACTGGCTGGTGATGGTCCTAAGCTGGGTCCTATCAGTAGAAAATATCCTTTAGTTACCAGGTATTTGTTTTGTTTTGTTTGGAAACTATTGGAATCTATCCAGGGAAAGTGAGTTCAAAGTTCATTAAAAGTGTACATTTATATGTCCAGGTGTATGTTTTCTTTCCCATGAACAAATGCCACCTAATGAATTGACTGTCCTTTTTAAGGAACAGTGATAACTGTTTAATAAACAACTGTGACCAGAGAGCATGAAACAATACTCAGAGCACATCAAAGCCTTACGTAGTGCAAATTGCTCTTGTAGGTGGCAGAGGGATGGAACTAGGAAAGTTTACACCTTTCAAGTTTGATATACTTGATGCCACTCATGCATCTGAAGGGCTAGGGCTTTAATCTTACGCTACCGGCTGACACCAAGATAGTGGCAACACCTGTCCTTTCTCCTTCAAGACATGCTACAAAATAGAAAACTCCCCATCATTTATAGTCTAGCAGCTGGGGTTTGTTTGTATCTGTTTTACCTACAAGCCGGTTCATAGCAGATATTTTAATTTCAAAGACAATGAATTTCAGCTTAGGTTACCTTATTTATTTATTAAATTACGTGTCTATTCCATAGGTATTTTACTTATCCATTCAATGAGCTGACTCTGGAGGAAGAAGAAACTATGATACATCAGCCAGATAAAGCTTGTTATTTCATGGCTCATAATGGCTGGGTTATGGGAGATGATCCTCTTAGAAACTTTGCAGAACCAGGTTTGTAAAAACTTTGAATCTTCTTATAAACCTTTTGATATGCTAGCCAAAGGAAAAAGGATTTTATTTAATCCATCTTTCTCCCAGATGTATTCCTGTGAAGCCGCAGAATAGCGGACAGATACTCAGTTTATAGTACTTCTATTTCCCATTCAGCATAGAGATCAACTGTAAGAACTGGGATTTGAGGTACAGTTTTGCAAGATTTTAGAGGGAAAGTACTAGCTTTCTGCCACTGAAATGGGGACATCCTGCCTCCCCACTTCTGTCATTGTCTACACCGCTGCTTGTTGGCATTTCCAGAAGGCAATGACAGTGTGGCAGAAAACTAATGCAATAAAAAGGTGGGTAGTATTTTACTGCATGAGTGAGCAAAAACTGCATCCGTGAAAGGTCCAGGGAGTGGCAGTCAGAAAGTAAAGAGGTGACCCAATTAATCCAAAATAAGTATGCAGATTACTTGTGAAAGTAAGAGAGGGTATGGGTTCACCATGCACTAAAGTACTGTATTCTAACTCCTTTGGGGAGCACTGATAGCCAATAAAAGCAAGGCTGACAACTCTTGTTTTCAGAGTAGTCATCCACTTTGTAAACTGAATCAAAAAAAGGCCAGTTTAATTCTAATTAAAAACATCTATCTACAAGTTTGAGTCCGCTTTAAAAGCTAATCTGATTGCTAACTCCAGATCGCTCTGGAGTATCAAACACCTCATTTCTGCAAAATAATCTACAGCCGTTTCACTGCTTTTCATTTACTTTACTTTTTTTTTTTCCCCTCCTTTGCAAGGATGAAGATAATATGCATTTTAAGGGTGGTTTTGTTCAGTCACCTTTCAGCTAACTGCCCTTTCTTCTGGGCAGGCTGTTGTATTTTTTCCTTCAGTCACTGGCTTTAGTTACCATACCTGACTTCAATTACTGAGTTTTCTGTCTTAATTTGTCTATAGCTTTTTGAGTGCTTCATACTTGTGTTGTACCTTTGGTTTATGCTACACGTGATTTCAACTGAGAATACAGTGTGAGAAGATGATACATAAGGGCACAAATACAGGAATTGCAAAACAAATGCAGTAAATTCTGTAAATGGGCCCTTAAAGAAATCGTGGTGTACATCCAAAGCAAGCCAGTTTTTCTGTCCATGTAGCTATGTCGCCATTAGTGAAGATAAAAGGTAGGCTGTGCTTAAGTGAATGTTTTTGGAAGTCGTGGTGACTTACAATCCCTGCTCTTTACTTACTAGCTGCTAACTCTTTTTGTGCTCTTTCATCATGTAGCCCAAATCACTTAGGTGTCCATGATGTGAGCCTTAGGAAGTTAGTCTGGCTGAGAAATAATCTCTTCGCTACGGCAGGATTACGTTTCAGCTGACCACGTTTCCTCATCTAATTTGAGGTTCAACCACTAAAATAACTGTGGTGATGCGTCAGTATAGCTGCTCTAGGAGCAGCAGAAAGCAATGGAATAGCTTTGTCTTAACCATCCTGAGGGGTGCTTGTCCTCTTCATGCTTTGGTCAGCTTTAGATAAGATGAATATAAACAGACCTTCGGAAGTCTGATGGCTCAAAGATAATTGTATTTCTCTTCTGTGAGGTCTGATTATTGACAATTCCGTGATTGTGCCTGGATTTTAGATGTTCCAAATAGTGTGGGGTTTTGGTGGGTTTGTTTGGGTTTTTTAAATTATATTACTGCCATTGTCAAATACGTGATTTACATAGGAGAGAAGTCACTTTTTTTAGATATGACTGATTATTTAAGTCTTTGTCACAGTTAAACCTCCATCAGTGTATTTTGTGCAGTAAGTATATTACAGGTGAACTCAGATTTAAAGATTTTTTTTACTGATTGCATCCAAAAAAAGGCAAAAAATAGTATATGAAACTAGACTAGATGGAGGATAAATATTTTCATACACACAAGAATTATTTAGGTACTTTGACCATTTAAGTGACCTGCCTGCCTAAGTACTTTGGAACTTTGCCTTACACCATCAGTCTGCTGTTAACAGAAGACAACATTTTAAATTGTGGCTGTGGCAGTTTATGGTAACACAGTGAGATGCTTTTTTTGATTTGGCCAGTATAAACAACCAAACTACTGATTTTGTTCATTTGTTTGCTGCTTTTTTCTTCTTCTTCCTCAAGTAAAGTTTTTATATTACTTTGAAGAATTAAAAGGAATTTGATTTCAATCTAAAGAATGATTTCAGTATCACTATAGAAGTTAAATATTCCCTTGGAGTAGTCTGAAATTACACATCAGTGTAGGGTATGTAGATTTTTGAGTTGATACGGTTATTGTTCAAATTTTTACTCTTCATTTTCTACTGCTGAAGAGGAGAACACTGATGAAGTACCACCTTTTCATTTCGGTGCACATTTTATACTATATATATATATACACCATAGTAAATTTATTTCCCTTACAGGTTCAAATGTTTACTTGAGAAGAGAGCTTATTTGTTGGGGAGACAGTGTGAAACTGCGTTATGGTAGTAAACCTGAAGACTGCCCGTACCTCTGGGCACATATGAAAAAATACACTGAAATCACTGCCAAGTACTTCCACGGTGTTCGTCTTGACAACTGTCACTCAACACCTATTCATGTAGCTGAGGTACGCAAAATTAAGCATATTTATTATGAAGCAGCTTCTGTCTGTGATACAAGACCTGTGCTGTTGCTACAAAATCTGCAGTATCTGCATGGCAGAGTTCAGGTGTGAATGAATCTTCCTCGCAGCATAAGTAAGGTTTCTTGGTGATGTTTAGGTACGGTTTCAGCTACTTTAAACAGTTACTAGAGTGGTGTAGCTATTGTATCATTTAATTCTCCACTTTAGCTGAAATATTGCGGGTGCGGATGGACCTGGCTAACTTTTCCCTTGTGTCGCTATGGACTTAGCGCAGTGACTGCCAGTACGTCAGTTTTAGCTGGGGTCGTTGCCAAGGCTTGGTTGAAAGTCTTGGTGTTTCTTTGCCATATATATTTTGCTATTGCTGAATTAAATGGAAAGCGTTTTACTTCCCAGAATTTAAAAGTTGGTGAAGAACACCTGCAGAAAGTTTAATCTGGCAGGCTTATTGCTAAGATTAGTGCTTACTGTTTACCATGGAGCTGACTACATCCAGAAATCGTACTTAGCTAGTAAATTAGCTTTAAATAGATTGGAGTAGTGCAGCTTGTTAGTGCTTAGTCTTAGCTTGGTTACAGAGTTTACATAAATCTATGAAGAGCTCTCTAAAACCAGTTGATTTGCCCACGCAAAAGTTGTAAGTGGCTCTTAAATGCAGCTGTTTCAAAGCTTCTGCCATTCGTTTATTTATTGTTACTTTTTTTGGAATGGTAACTTTGAAGGCTTAAACTGAAGTCCTCCTCAGATTTCTTACATTAAGAGGTATCTCTTTTATCCAACCTTTGTTCTTGCATTTTGAGTTAAGATTTTGTTTAAAAACAAAGTTGTAATTAGCTTAAAGTCTTCAGAGAATTTCCTAGAATTACTCAGACCATAAATAATCTCTAAAATACAGACCATGGTTTTATGAATGTTACCTGTTAATGTTTTTTTAATGAACTGCACATATGAATGACTCGTTTGTGTTCGGTCAACGTTCATGTTAATGATTGCATATACATAGCTGACGATGGATGTCTTGCATTAAAAATGTATTATGATCTATAGGAGATGCTAGCAACAGCCAGATCAGTCAGACCTAATCTTTATGTGATAGCTGAACTCTTCACGGGCAGTGAGTACATTGACAATGTTTTTGTCAACCGCCTGGGAATTACCAGCCTGATTAGAGGTACAATAAGCAGTTGAAAATTATGTAGGATTGTCGTGTATGGTTTGGAGTTTTTAACGTGAAACTAACATTGGTATGCTTTTTTTTATTTTCCTCACATATTCATGTTCTTTGCTTATGCAATTACCTTTTCTTCTTCATGTTCTATTTAACTTCTCCTGTGTTGTATGCTAATTCTTGATTTTTGCTTATGTTTGTGTGTCCTCTTCTGTGTAACAACTCTTTTTGTTCCTTAATTTTGTCTTTCTGTTTGTCTTTGCTGCATGGCATTTTCCTATTGTCCAATCCCTGCCTAGCTTTGAAACTTGTCCTTTTTTGTATCTACCTTTCCCCTTTCTGTGGCTTTTTTGGCTGTGCTTTTTGCAGTACATGCTGGACACAGCTAGAAAATTGCGAGCCGATTTGTATGTAGTGGCTGAACTGTTCACAGGAAATGAGGAGCTGGACAATATCTTTGTGAATAGGCTGGGCATTACCTCCTTAATAAGAGGTAGGCTTGCTGTGTGTGCGGTCTCTTTCCAACGAGAGATTATAGATGGCGTGCTGTTTCCAAGGAAAAGGTCTCTTCCGGATTGTACGCTTTTAATTTCATACTCCATGTAATCAGAAGTACAGGTTTTTGTATTGTGACTTTTTTGATACTTGGCAAAAAATACAGTACGAGCTGCAAAATAAGAGATGACATCCTGCATTAGTTTACAAGAAGGTTAAGTATTTCACTCGTATTCTAGCGAGAGAAAGAGAAGTTGTAGCACAGTTCTGCTACGCAGGTGCTGCATCATGTCTGATTTTTGTTGCATGAGTTTCTTACAGCCTGTGAGAAACAGTTTCAGATCTCTGCTTTTTTTCTCCCTTTTTTCCCTTACCTTTCTCTACCTTAGCAAACAGAATACTCCAAGGTTGGATATCCACATTGGAGAATATAATTTTAATAATAATTATTATT